CATACCTTATTCCCAGAAACACCCAAAGAATTACATAACTAATTGCATAGACTAGACCCAGTTCACTTTCCCCAGCCTCCAGAAGTGAAAGTTTACACCAAGGATGGTTCCTTAGCAATTTTTGCCAGTACGACGGTCAGGAATTCGATCCCTAATTTCTGGGAACTTGCAAAAACCTCAGGCTTCCTGAGGGCTCCGTGAAAGATCACGGGCCAGTGTACCTGACCAAGACTGGAACGCCAGGCTGGGTAAAGAAAGGGGGCCTTTCCAAATAAAAACACCCAATACCATAAAACCTAAAGTCTAACCTGCCAGGTAAAAACAAGTAGAAGCTGGCTGTACCAAAAAGGTGCTTATCTCCTCCCTGCTTGAAAGTAATAACAAAGGGGAACAGAGTCCAGAGTATTTGACCTCATCTCCCTTCCAAGAACCTTGACCCACAGGCAGCATATTCCAGGCCAGAGGTCCCAGGGAGATTTGTGTGCTTCTGGCCAGGTAAAGCTGCTCCCAGGCTGCCTGGTTCACTGCTGCTCCTCGGAAAATGTGTGCCCTTGTGCAGGGTGCTGAAGAATTAGGAGGGAAATTGTTTTTTGACTTTGACTTCGTAAATGACAGATACTTCAATCACAGCTTCTAGAAAACCACTCAAAGACCCCTGACCCCCAAGGGTCAAGGTCACAGATCCTTCCAGTTGATGGGCTCTTTGCCGGACTTCTGCAGCAGCTCATTGGTTTTAGAGAAATGCCTGCATCCGAAGAACCCCCTGTACACCGAAAACGGCGAGGGATGCGCGGTCTGCAGCACGTGGTGCCGCTTCTGAAAGAGGAGGAGACGGGGAGTGAGATTGTGGGGACACTCTCAGGACTTTAAAAAAAAACCACTCTGGCTGTGGCGCTTTCTGTCAGCTCTGCCGCTCCCCTGTGACCGCTCTAAATTCGCCCACTTTCCTCACGGTGTTGGTTTACTTGCAGCATCCACACAGGTCCGTGCGTTCATCCTCCACTGGTTGGTAGAGCCACTACCTGGGCTAGGCCCTAAGGATGCAGAGCACCCGTCTCTGCTCTCCACTGGGCACTCTCGATAGGACTCGTAGGTGCCCTTGTCCTATGACCCAGCAGTCCCACTGCTGAGACTGTTATTTGGTAAAGGACGCCATGATGCACACATCTCCATAAAGATGCAGGCTTGAGGAGGTGCACGGCTCCTATCGGGTAAAACCTACTATAAATCCAGTGTTATGCAACTGATTACAAATATTTTTCTAAAGTTCTGTTAACGCAACACCACACAGCTGCTAGAAGAACAAGATCAAGCTGCATATGCTGACACAGGGAGACCTCTAAAATATGTCAAGTGGGAAAAAAAAGCAAGAAAAAGTGATAAATGCATTAAATTAAAAACAATTCTTTGGTAGGGGGATAAGACCCAAGACACTATTTACAGTAGTTCCTTTAGGTGGAAGATTGCACCTTTCCATGCTGTTTGCATTATCTCACCACCGAAATAGAATACTTAAAATTTTTTAAAATGTCAACTGTAGTTAACTTAGTAGGAAGATTCTGGACCATTTTTGCTTTCTTCTTTATTCTTTCCTGTATTTAAATAAAAATCACCCAACAGGGCTTCCCTGGTGGTGCAGTGGTTAAGAACCTGCCTGCCAATGCAGGGGACACAGGTTCGAGCCCTGGTCCAGGAAGATCCCACATGCCGTGGAGCAGCTAAGCCTGAGCACCACAACTACTGAGCCTGTGCTCTAGAGCCCACAAGCCACAACTAGAGAAAACCCGCACGCAGCAATGAAGACCCAACGCAGCCAAAAATAAACAAAAATTAAAAAAAAAAATCACCCAACAAATAATCGTCTTTCAAGATACCCCTGCCTTCAAGGCTGGGTTGAGGAGGGGCCATCAGTGAAGCCGGGCAGCCCAGTGTGGGTCAGGGCATGGAACCTGGGTTCCTTCAGGTCCTGGCCCTGCCACTCAGCAGTGGCGCAGCCCCAGGGAAGTCACTGACCCTCCCTAGAGCACAGGTCACTTTTCACCTGTGGACTGGAAGTTAACAGCAGTGCCAGCTCAGGAAGATCCCGTGAAGAACAAAAGATGGGTCGTGCGCGCAGAGCATCCCGGGAAGGGATGCAGGCCGGGTGCTCAGCACAGGGTACAGCATATGGGGCAGGCCCCTGAACACGAGAGCTGTGTGCATTATAAAGGACCAGTCAGCCAGCCTCCAGGGAAGGAAAAGACCTCTACATGCTGGACAGAGGAAGCAGGACGTTCAAAGGCAGTCAGGGGAGTAGGGGGTGGGGAGAAGTCCAGGTGGTTCAGGGGGCCTGGAGTTCACAGAGGGTGACAGGCAGGCCGGGGCCGTGCCGACCCCAGCTCATGAGCCCAGGTCGAGGCCTTCCAAGGAGAAGGCGTCTGAACGCTCTGCTCTGGGCAAGATGAGATGGGGCTGACCTGAGGCTAAGTTGGGCAGGTGGTGGGGGGGCTGAGAGAAGAAAGTCTGTGTATGACTGGTTGCAGGAGGTGGGGATAGATACAAAGGGTGGAGAGGGGGAAGGAGAGGGGGAAAGAAAGGGAGGGGTCAAGAATGATATGCGATTTCTGGTTGGGCAACTGGGTAGACAGCGGCCCTTTTTATCCTTGGGCATCCAGGGGCCCAAGTTTAATGAGGGATGGACGAGGAAAGGAGAATGGGAAAATGTTGCATTTGATGTGCTTCCAGGTCCCTAGTAAGGCAGCAGCTGAATATACAGGTCTAGTGCTCAGGAGACACCCCGGGCTACAGATGTGCAACTTGGGTTTTAATGGTCAATCTACCAGTTGTTTTTTTTTTTTTTTGGTTGTGCCATGCAGCATGCAGGATCCTAGTTCCCCAACCAGGGATCGAACCCAGGCCCTCTGCAATGGAAGCGCGGAGTCCCAACCGCTGGACCGCCAGGGAAGTCTGGTTTTTAATGGTCAAGCTACTTTAACAACTGTTTACTTTCAAACTGAACCATTATTAAGATTACAGATACACTGAGTAAGGGCGCTTCTGACCACAAACCTCCCTAAGACACAGACTGGAAATCACTCCCACACACACTTCATTACCGAGGTAATCAGATCTTAGCAGTTAGTTCGTTCATGCCAGGTTTTATTCCTACTATTCTCTTCCCGAAAAGAAAAACACCTGAAAACATCCTGTTCATTCACAGAGAACCTTTATAGAGAAAGCAGCTCTTCCATCTGACCTACACGCCCCCTTGCTGCTTGCATCCATGTGTATAGACACTGGACGGGGCTTCCCTGGTGGCGCAGTGGTTGAGAGTCCGCCTGCCGATGCAGGGGACACGGGTTCATGCCCCCGTCCGGGAAGATCCCACATGCCATGGAGTGGCTGGGCCCGTGAGCCATGGCCACCGAGCCTGCGCATCCGGAGCCTGTGCTCCGCAACGGGAGAGGCCACGGCAGTGAGAGGCCCGCGTACCGCAAAAGAAAAAAAAAAAAAGACACTGGCCGGAGATGTCAGACAGTAAAGCCCAGTGCCTACCCGAGGCCAAGAAGAGTTGGAACGGATGGGGACTGGGAGGGGAGGCCTTGAAATCCTTTAGTTTCTAACCATGTGAATTGAATCTACTACCTTAAAAAAGGAAAAAAGGCCTAAATTATGAAATAAAGGTAGAACTCCACTTAAGAGAAAATGGAGGAGATAACTGACACGTGAGTCAAGTCTCTAAAGCTGATGGCTGGCTTGGAACCCTGCCACCCTCGCCCGTGGGCTGGGCAGGCCTCCCCACGGGCCCGCCCAGGTGAGCTGGCTGCTCGGATCAGAGTCCGAAGCTCCATTCACCCCAAGTGGGCAAGTAACCTCGCCTCCCTGAGCCCCAGTACAAAGCGGGGTCAGCGTATCCCTCCCACCCCCAACAGCCTGCGTCGAGGTCAGGAGAGATGCTGTGTGAAAAGTGCTGGACTTGCTCCTGACACCTGTTTGCACGTATCTGATACACCATAAGCTACTGCCATGTCGCCTCGGTTCATCCCTTTACCTCACTTATGACGTGTTTATGCTATGATTTCTCCCCCCACCCTCACTGCCCAATTCAGTGCCTCCCAGTAGCCCAAGCTAAACATTCCTCCTTCCCGTCTCCCTCCCTCCCAGCCCCATGCCCCCTCCTCCCCTTGCCAGTCTCCTTCATACCAGCATCACCTCCAGTCCGGTCACAGGCATCCCAGAGAGAAATGCCAGTGCTCAGCACAGAGGGGAGGCAGGATTAGGATGGTTTTAGGACGGGTTTAAGGGGATGAGGGAGGGCATTCAAGGATGACTTCCGGTTTTTAATCTCAGCAACCAAGTATACGCAGGTGGGTCGGGGGAGGATGCGGTGGGGTGGCCAGAGACTGAAGAGCTGGGTTGGTGTCGGGGACCAGCAACCAGGGCCCAGGTTTAATAATTATCGCTGATGGTGTTTTCATGGGGGGAGGTTACATTTGCGATTAGGTGGAACTCTTCATGTTTCCCATATACCCTCAAACTTGTTGAAAGCAAGAGACTTACCTCGCTCATCATCTACTGCATCGTTTGTTACATGAATGGAACCTGGGGACCTGTGTTATCTTTCTGTGTATGCAGCAAGTTTATGCCAGTGTTACCAACTGCATCTAAGCAGAAGCTGGCCAGCTGCTCTCCTCATACACAACTAATCATTTCGTCTGAGTTCTGTTCAATTTTCTTTCTTTCCTTTTTTTTTTTTTGGCTGCGCTGTGTGGCATGCAGGATCTTAGTTCCCTGACCAGGGATAGAACCTGTGCCCCTGCGTTGGGAGCACGGACTCTTAACCCCTGGACCGCCAGGGAAGTCCCTGAATTCTGTTCAGTTTTCGATGGGAAACCTAATCCTAATTATCACAGTTTTAAGGGAAAATAAGCTTCATTTTAGGACATGATCTTTCTAGGACCACATAAAGGGACTGCTAGAATTCTCTAACCTGTTTAAAAAAAAAAAAACCCAAAACATACCCTATCAATGGCACTGCCTTTCTTCTGAGCATAAGAGCCCCAGAGCAGGAAGACAAGGCCGTTCGAGTTCTGATTGAGCCAGGACACAACAGCATCGGTGAACTGCTCCCAACCTCTCTCTTTATGAGAATTGGCCTGATGCGCCCGGACGGTGAGGACGGCGTTGAGCAGGAGAACACCTGCGAGCACACAGCGAAGAAGGAGGTTCAAGGGGGGCTGAAACGTGCAATCTAAAATTCGACACAAATGAACACATCTACGAAACAAACTGACTCACAGATAAGAGAGAACGGACTTGTGCTTGTCATGGGGGGGATGAGGGAGGGATGGACTGGAAGTTTGGGGTTAACAGATGCAAACTATTATATATAGGATGTATAGCACAGAAAACTCTTCAATATCCTTTGATAAACCATAATTATAAAGAATACGGAAAAGAATATGTATATGTATAATGGAATCACTTTGCTGTACAGCAGAAATTAACATTGTAAATCAACTATACTTCAATAAAATTAAAAGAAAAAAAAGGGGGAGGCTGAAACGAGTTGGCCTAAACACCCAATAATGGGCTCAACGCATGACGAAACCACCCCGAGATGTAAGCTGGTGCAGCCACCTGAAATCCGGTGGTGGAGAAAGCATTAGGACGTGACCAGCTGGTGCCTCTGTGCGAGATTCATTTTCACCTCTGCACTTTCAAGACCGAACTTCTGAGTTTGCAACAGTGACCGTGCATTATATCCATCATCAGAAAGAATTGTTTAAAAAAATATACCCTGGGCTTCCCTGGTGGCGCAGTGGTTGAGAGTCCGCCTGCCGATGCAGGGGATACGGGTTTGTGCCCCGGTCCGGGAGGATCCCACATGCCGCGGAGCGGCTGGGCCCGTGAGCCATGGCCGCTGAGCCTGCGTGTCCGGAGCCTGTGCTCCGCAACGGGAGAGGCCACAACAGTGAGACGCCCGCATACCACACACACACACAAAAAATACCCTAACTGATATGAAATAACCCTGGAAAGTAACACAAGGAGGCCAAGACGTTTCACTAAAACAAAAATCTCACTGCAAGGAAAGGTCAGATAGTCTTTCCTTATCCTGATTATAGTTTGTTAAAAAAGGAGAAAGACGTCCCACAGATAGGTATTAAAAACACACAACATAACCCGTGTGTCAAAATGAGAAAACTTGAGGCCGCCTTCTGAATGGTCGAAGTCGAGTGGTTCAACGTAAAATATGAATGATGAGGAACCAACTTTTCCCTTTCATGCTATGACTAAAACATGAAAAACACTGGCTGCAGGATAAAAGCGAGATACATTTTTTTTCACTAGATTAGATTACTGGTTTATAACAAAGGATATTAAAGGATGCAGTCAAGTCGGATGAAGAGGTGCAAAGGGCAAGACAGAGGGAAAGGGCACGTGGCTTCCATGCCCTCTCTCAGCTTGCCTCTCTCTCCGATCTCCATGCGTGCACCAACCCAGAAGCTCTCCAAATGTCATCCTTTGGGGGTTTTATGGAGGCTTCATTACATAAGCATGATTGATTAAATCACTGGCCACTGGCAATGGATTCAACCTCCAGCCCATCTCCTCTCCCTGGATATCAGGGGGTGGTGAGATACATTCTTTGACTTACATAAACTTAGCCATTTTATTAGAGCCCTCTGGTTCTTCACGGGTATCTTTTAAAAATATAAGCAAGCTAGACAGAAAAGACAGTTGAAATTCATCCAAAACACGTCTAGCAGTGGCTGGTTTACCTTGCCTGGCCCATCCGGATAAATCTCCATGACCAGGATGAACAAAACCATCTATGTCTGTAGACAGTTCTTTATAAATGTTTTCCAAACTAAAAGCAAGCCAGAAGAAAAACAAACAAAAAAACAGAATCTTAAGCACAATTCGGAAAGTCCAGGACCCTCCAGCACACACGCGAGTTAGTCTGCAAAGCCAGCCCTCGGGGCGGACAACAGGACGCACTGCACTGATTCATGGGAAACGCTGCCCTTCCTTTAGACAGGCACACCTGCCAAACGCCTTTACTTCGGTCAGTGCTTGGGTTTAAGGAAGAGAACTTTGGAAAACCTAAGCAAGTTAGCCCAGGAGTTACCACCCCACTCCCAAGTGATGGATTTAGTTTATACCTTTAATGTTCATTATATTTGTAAATGATATGTAAAATCCTCCAAGGCAGGGGTTCTTAACCAGGCGTGATGTGGCCCCACAAGGGACGGCTGAAAACGTCTGAAGACATTTTTCATTGTCACAAATGGGGTGGGGGTGGGGCGTGCTGCTGGCATCTCGAGGCCAAGGGTGCTGCTAAACATCTCACCACGCACACGGCAGCCCCCCGACCACAAAGACCCAGCCCCACATGTCAGTAGTGCAGAAACTGAGAAATCCTGCTCCAAAGGCTAGTGACGGTCCCACAAACAGGTGCACCTGTAATTTGAAAGTGATCACAACTGGAGCTGAGCCACCTGTAGAGCCTGCGTACCTGGGCGGGGGTGGCACGGGCCTTTGAACACTAAAGCAGAGCCCATGAGCTTGATTGGGTCCGTGATATGGATCCTGTCCCAGGACGACAACCTTCACCTGTGAACACCAGATGGCGAGGATCAAACACTATAGTACAGGCAGTCTGAACGGACACCTTGGCTGGCTGATAACTTATACAAAGGACTCCTTATACTATGAGGACAAGGGCAGGCCCCCCTCCCGGCCCAACTAAGAGCCCCCAGAAGGGAGCAGGTGACTTGGCACCATCACTGCATTACCCAGTTATCCTTCCCTCAGTCACCTGCTGCAGTGCCCCCTCCCTTCTCTGACCCACGTGTTTGAAACAAGCTGGGGTCAACTTTGCTTTCATCCCCTTCATTTTTCGAATTACAAAAGGAAATACGCCCTTGTCACAAGTACGTCCATCCAGAAATATATCAAGATCTCCCGGTCATCCCTACCCCGTCCTGATCCAACCATTTATAATCACCTATTGATGTATAATGAGGGGCATTGTACTCATCACCCTACATTTTTGTGTTTCTCACATCATACACTGTAGGCCTCCTTTAAGTCAACAGAGCTCAGTTGTTGATGGGCGGTCAGCTGGTTTCCCAGTTTTTTCCCTTAAAAAAATAACGCAGTAAACATCCTACTACATGTATCTTTACATACTGCTGCTTTCATTTCTATGGAATAGATTCAGAAGAGTGGAGTTGCTGATCACAGTATTAAGTGTATTTAAAATTTTCATCGACATATGCCAAATTGCTTTTCCACGAGCTGAAGAAACTCCAGTTGCCCAGCAGCAGCATATGAAGGAGCCTGCTCCCCTGGACGGGTACGCCGCGGAGACACCGTGGGTTCAGCTCCAGACTGTCTCATTAAACAAACATTGCGATAAAACAAGTGACGTAAATTTTTTGGTCTCCTAGCGCATACACGATATGGTAGTCTATTAAGTGTGCAATTGCATGTCAAAAAAAAGTACGTATCTTAATTAGAAAGTACTTTATTGCTTAAAAAATGCTAACCATCATCTGACAATGAAAGGTTGCCACAAACCTTCGATTTGTAAAAATCGCTGGATCTGCAAAGCGCAATAAAACAAGGTCTGCCTGTGTCCTCTTAAGGGATGGAACCAGAGAATGAGGTCACTGTCACCGTCAGTGGTGTGAAAATACTACTAGGCCTTTTGATCGGGTGCCCGCCCACCCACCTCTCTTCATTCCCACACTTTTGCCGTGTTCCTTCTTAAGACTCTCCTTCCGTAGCCAACATACACTTTATCCTTCAAAATCCAGCTTCAGACGTTCCCACAATCAGGCAGCTTTCATGGGCCTCTCCATTCCTCTGGTTGGTACTCACACTGCCCCTGGCATATTCCCCAACGTGAAGCAACGTGTCCGAGCGGGGAAGCTTTCCAGTTCTGGTCCTGGATAAGGACCTCAGAGGAGCCAGGTAACATCCCCTCCCCTCCACACGCTCACTGGCAAAGCAGCCCCACCGGGCCATCTGATCCTCAGAAGTCTCATGCACTTTTCTTAGTCTTTCTTTACAATATTGCTCATTGGTACTCAAAACAGGACATACTTCAAACAAGGGGCAAACTAGTACTGAATTTAATAGGACTTGTTTTTTTTTAACTTTATAAACAAGGAGGTGCGTTCGAAGTGCTTGCTCTGAAATGAAAATTGTGAAGTCTGCTAAGCATTGCGAGCGTCAGCCTTATCACGATGGCGTCTTCAACAATTTCACTTCTCTTTGATTTAACAGGTGCTTATTAAATCACGGGATTCCTACCCTCAGCTTACAAAATCAGTAAGGCAAAAGGAGAACAAAAAAATGGAACACCTCCAACGCAAGCAGATACTAAAACCCCCACATCACAAAGGAAACCCACATCACAAATATAGTGGGGGACAGGCCTCCTTCCGGGAGGTGCCAGAGATGCCTCTAGTTGGTTTTCAAAAGACAGAAGTGAGGAGAGGGTCACCGCCCTGTCCAGCTCCAAAGGAGGAGAATGGAAGGTGGAGGTGAGGCTGGGAAGCAGGAAGTGGCCGTATTCACCCTCAGCTTTCATAGTTTGCACCGTGGGAAGCCACAAACAAGCTTCTGACAGCGAGCAGCCATTGTATATACGCTGAACCAAAGCAAAGGAATCTGTTAACAGGAGATGTGTTCAGGCCACAAGTCAAGAGTTTGAAAGCATCAACGGTAAAGGATGGTGTGGTCAGACAGAAAGAACACTGAGCCGCAAGTCAAGGTGGGACCCCCGACAACCACTTGAAAAAGACTTAACTGCTTCGTGCCTCAGTTTCCTCACCACCACACTTTACCTCTCATGGGCATGGGGTCGGTTTAAGGATAAAATAAAATACAAGTGAGAGCATACAGACCCATGGTTTACATACATACTTTTCTTTTTTTGCCATATGAACGGCACACAGTAAAAGTTAAACAGGGTACGTACAGGCTAAAATACGGCCCGCCAAACCTCACAATTTCAGTATTTTATTTATTACTGAATTATGGACAGTGGCTTAACTCCAGTGTCCCTAATTAAAAACTACCATTTGAGTCCTACTCCCCTTTTAGTAAAATT